TGATTTCAGTTAAATAACGATTATGGAGATGAAAGGTGGAGGTATATACTTTATTACGGACTACACCAATCGTTCATGTTCTTGAAAAGACATTGTTCCTATAACTAATTACACAATTACAAAAAAAGAAAGAAATAAGAGCTTTACCGTCATTTTTGGTGTAAATACTTGTATTAATAGGTAAAATTTTATAAATTAACCGATCTTTTTTGGCACATAAGCTCAAGAAGAATATATTTCGGGGTAAATTAATTGCGTGCCCTAAAAATTATTGTTATCAACTACAAGATCATTAAAAAAAAAAAAATCTTCAAAGGAACTAAAGCACATTCTTACTGTGTAATTAATGAACTGCTAGTAACAGCCAAGAATCGTTGTACAAAGAAATTTATGTGACCTCGTATATATCTCCTGAAATGTTATTTAATGAGGCATTTAAAATTATGTGTCTTAATGAAAGGTACAATTTTCTATGTTTATTAATATACATAGTGTCAACATATCAATTAAAAAAAATAAGGGATCGTCTCCACAGGCTAATAAAACGTACAATGTACCTTTGTTAAAAAATTACAAATATCACTTATATTTATAATATCATGTTCATTGCTTTGGAACATAAAACTCAAAGACGGATATTATTGTTTATCAAAGGAGTTTTTTTAATAATTTATGCTAAAACCTCGGAGAAACATAAATTAGCTTAATGCTGTTTATTTTTAAAAGTTCATTGTACTACATAAAGGTGAGTTCTCTCTATCTATCGGAAATTGATTTTGAGTACAGCTTTAGGGACAATAGTCCGCTCCTTACTGCTATATAAACAAGTCAAACTTTCCTTTTCATGTTTTTAAAGGATTTCTTCCTTTTCTCCAATAATTACTTCCATGTTTGTTTAGGCTACATCCCTTTCTCCCTCCACGAAAAATACGAATGGAAATTTCCGGTATGGAGACTAACAATTTTTTTCACTTCCTACATGAATACAAAGCTTTCCTTGGATGGTGTCGAAGTGTTTATGCGTGTCTGACATTAATGAGAGTTTAATCTTATTTGCTATTGCATTTAAAGCACAAAAATGTTACATCTCATCATGTTTATGAGCAATTATAATCTAGAACTTATAGATAGACCAAAACGAGTAATCAGATTTGGAAAAAAATTGTAGAATTTGAGAGCTATGAGTATTTGAAACAGTACGGATGTACATTTTTTTTGTTATTGACCCATGTATAATGGATTTGTTTTTGTGATATAATTCATTATTCCATCAAGTTGAGTAGTTGCTCTGTAAGATATTGATTGGCAGACACTAGTTTTCGTGATTTTATACAAACGGGCTCTTAGGATAAAAATCTGCCTAGTCAGTGAGTGCCAAGATTCATTTTTCTAAACTCTCGCAAAAATTATTTTAAGTGGCATAGGTGGGAATAGAACCCAAACCAGGCAGGGTAGACCCTCGTCCAAACGGGCTTGGCTATCACAGTTGTTGCTTACACTAGATTTATGTTCGGTACTTGTAGCTTGGCATTTTTCATATCCTGCTTCCAGATGGTTATCGCTGTGCAGTTTATGGCTGCAATGATTGTAATAGCCCATTCTATAGCCTACTTTCATCTAATATTCCTTTTTAACCTCTCAGTGTACTCAATTTCAACTTAAGGACCTTTTCATTGTTGATAAATTAGAGCCTTTAAAAATTAAAATGCCTTAAAGTATCAGTAATAAGAAATATATTTTTTAAAATAATACATTAATTTTGTTTATGATTCATCATTATAAATCTTTAAAATTATTTATTTCAGCAATGATAAATCATTATTTTTAGCTCTACATCATCGTACAGTGAGCTAAACGTCGCTTTCAATACAAAAAATTGAAATCACGATTATTATTAAATTATCCACTTACAATGAAAATATGAACGATGCAAAGATAAATTTCAACATAATAAAAAACTTATAATGTGGAAAATAATACAATGTGTAAAAATCCGAAAATGGAAGAAACATTATATTCACAAATGTAAAAGTAAATTTATCGATGAATGAATGAAATGAGAAATTTTTCTGGAACAAAAGTCCCTTATATACATTGTTTAGTATTTCATGTTTATTTTTCTGGTCAATTATTAGTGAAATGATTATTATCAATTATCTGTTAGTCGTAATTGTAATTAATGAAATTGTAATAATTTTTATTAAGGAATACATCTATGCTATATTAGATTATGAATTGTTGCTTAACAGAAAATTTTGAGGATGATTGATGAATACAAATGAAAAAAAAAATATAGCTAGAACAACGAAGGATTTTATGGAGCTTTGAGTCGTATTACTATACATATATAAATCGATTGGTTGAGATCTTGTATTCAGATTGAATATTAGAATGTAGAAAGATCATGGATCTAGTGAGGTTTTTGGTTCTAAGAGCTTGGAAAAGCCAGAATCGAAGGAAGTATTGCCTTCCAAAAGTAGGATAAAGCTATTTCAACACGGTTTACCAATAAGAAACATGAGAGCCCCAGGGAAATTTGAAGATGAATCTTATGAAACAATTCATAACACTCTTTAGACTCATATTGCTAGCTAGCTCAGCAAATAGATGAGTCCACGGTACATACAGCAACCTTTAATGAAATGGGGGTAGAGGCAACAAAATAAAACACAAGAAGATGCCGATTAATTTAATGAATTGAACCGCGGAATCTGTTAAAGAAAACAATGAAGTGGGAAACATAGCTATTCTAGATAATGTACTGATCTAATGACTGAATACATGCATTAGTTATATAATTTATTATTATACAGTGAAACAAATAAGATAGAATAATATAAACAAACAAATCTTAAACAATAGGTTTAATATTATAATACAATTACATAATATGCGTATATTATAAACAATACCATTTAGTATTTCTTTGTGTTAGTTTATAATTGCCCCTTCATTTGTTATATTTTTATTGTAGGATTTGTGAACAGTCATTAGTAAGTGTTATTTGTTAGCTAGTAATGTACTTTCATGTAGTAAAAACACAAAGTCTGAGAAAACTAAACAAAGATTCAATAATTAATAGGAGTTTATTGCACTTAAAACATAATCCAGTATTTATTCCAACCAATGATGAAAAACTAGCTTGCCATTTCTACAAATATAGCAACCCTGAACTAAGAATACTTTAATAACTCAATGTTAAGCGGCACAAATTTATTTATTTGTATGATTAATTTTCAATAATTGTTGTTTTAACACCTAACTGGATTTCCTATGTTTTTAATTTTTTTTTTATGGGGATCTTTACTAATAAAATTCTTTACATTATTATAACATTATCAAATAAATCTATATAAATTCAACCAAATCGAAAAATAACTTTTTCCGCCTTGCTTTTGCGAACGGACTGAATCAATCGTCTATTGCCTGAATTGGTTTAAAATAAATATACTCTATGTAAGACTATAAATCCATTTTCTGGCCCTCATGAACCGTTATTTTTGATGAATAAGTTATCAAACGAGAGATTATTTCGTGGAGAAATGATGAATGTCAATTTCAAAGCATAAAATCGTACTACAATAGCAATAAAGGTCATAGAAAAAAAATGGGAGGTTTTAAAACTCATGTTATTTCAAAGGTGGAAGGATCAAGACGGGATGAATTATGTTTTAAAGATTTCGACGTGAGAAAAGCCATAATTCTCGCCAAAAGCCAAGAATTTGGCAATGAGATTACTTACCACATGCTTAGGTTTTAAAAATTAATATTTTGGTATTTATGATAGTCTTTGACGAGCTAAAAATACATCGAGAAGGTAAATGGAGGAGAATATTTTTATATTCCATTGAAGAGTTCTAATAATATAAAAAGAAGCTTTTTGATACTTTTAATAAATAGGAAAACTAACCTATACGACTTCTATACTCTCAGTAAAATATATTTATTTATTCATAGTAAGTGTGAGGACCACAAACCAAGACTCTTGAGTAAATCAGTAAATCTTGAGCGAGCAAACTAGTTGATAAGTACAAGTTTGAAGATTAATTTGTCTTATTGCTGAACTATTAAACTGGCAGCATGTTTTCCGGTGGGACAATGAATCACTTATTAAGTAAACTTTCATTTAATAGCCAAGATAAAATATGAACCTTCGCTAATTTTGTGTTTGTAATAATAGTCTATCACAGAAATATTGTCATATATTGTTTATATCTTTAACTTTAACTTATGGATATTGTTTGGACTAGTAAGTAGGTAAGCATACAAAAAGTCCCTACTCCTATGTGGTGAGCCAGATGTGAGGAAAATGTTTCGTTTATATCAGGAAAACTATCCATCGCATCGACAAAGACTTTCTATAAAAACTTATGCTGATTTTTTATATATATATCTTTTCTTACTATCTTAGTTTTCGAGATATCCGTCCTCAACTATTGCTAATGATAAAAAAAAATATTTACCTCATGGTTTTTACTGTATTTGACTAGGTAACTCTTGGTCGCTTCATTTTACGATTAAGCCATGGGGAAGAAAGTTGTTAATAACTAATATTCTTCAAGAATGTATATTATTTTACTACTAGAAAATATTGAGCCGTTTGGCATGACCGTTGACGGCACAATATTTTTGAAGGCCACCTTTTTTCTTGAATTTGTGCCCAAGTTATCTTTCGATTCAAGTTGAAAGGAAATGTGTATTTAATAATTTTTATTACCTAATTAAATGGAGAAAGTTTGCCGACTTCCAGATGGAAAACGTCTTAAGTACGAGAATTTTCGTAAATAAAATATTTGTAGGTTACGAGCTATTTACGAAGTTTCAGCCGGATGTTAATAATTAGATAAAATTTGGCCTGTACCATGGATTAACAAGGATAGCAATTTCAATTAAGAGGTATATTAGTATAAATATAAGGTATATTAGTATGCTGAGGTATATTAGTATAAATATAAATTAAAATGATGCCAAATTAAGGTTTTGACATGAAATATGCTTACAACTCTCGATCTCCACGGTACAGTTCTGCGAGTCTAGGGGGTAGTAGTGGAGGTCCATCATGCAGGCGAGGGTGGTCGTGAATCGCATACCGTAGGTGATGCTCCCGTCTCCGTTCAGCCTCACCAGCTTGTTCCTCTCGGTCACATCGTGGAGGAAACTGCAACAAGTTCGTCCAAATCGATAAATCAAGCTTACACTATATTCGACAAATAACACGAGCATTAGCATTAGAAACTACGTATTGAAGAAGTTCTTAGGATATATTTAAACTTATTTATTAAAAAATATCTGTCATATACAATCTGTCTCTAGGACATTTATAATAGAGTTCACAGATCACATTCACACTCTATGTGCAATAAATGAAATAAATTTTACAGAAAAATAATATATATATACAATAAACAAGAATAAATTAACCTAAAAATAAATAAATAAAAAGAATACATACACATCTATATACAATATTTACAATTTGGTGAGAGAACTCCAAACCAGACTTGTCCCTCCAACTGTGGAGGGAAAACTATGACTCCAGGAGTTCCCCGCACTCCTCTTTCAACCGCGTCACTAGGGCTAAACCCAGTGGAGATTGAGCAAGAGTACTTTAGCCACATACACTCATGTCGTGAATGGAGAATCTGGCCATTGCCAGGACTCCAATATTTACAGACTATAAAAGACCGCGGGGCCACTGCCGTTTTAACCTCCTTGGAGGATTATATGGATGGGTGGTGATGGATAGAGATTGTGCAAAGGGATTTGGATGATGGGTAAGGTTCTGGTGGAATTTGGAGAATTTTACCAGGATAAGGTCTAGGAAAAATGGGATATTAAGGTCATGGTGTAGGGTTTTGTTGGTTAGAAGTTAATGTAGCATAATGAATAGTTGACCATATTAATTAAAAAGAGGACAGTCATGGTGGCGGTAAGGAATAACACCAAAATAGGAGAAATTATTCATTGAAAGTTTTCCTGGATTTTATAAACATCTATTTTGACATATCGCCGACGTTGAAGAAAACATCATCGACTAAATGTGTAGATCAAAACACAGTCAACTGATAAGCATTGAATAATATAGTGAAGTTTAACTGGTGAACATATATGGTTTGCTAAACAAAGAAATGAACTGTGGATGTGAAATGTGATATTTTACAATTTTCCACTTAATAACGTTTCCTTAAACGCCAATGATATTTGACATACATGCTATTGAGTTCATTAAAAAAAAAATAACTTTTTAATACAGTTTTATTCATGGAATATTAATTTACTATTCTTTCAGTAATTTAATCTTTATTTTTACTCTACCATAGATATATACTTTCACCTTATATGTGTACTACCAAAAATTGATTTTATCTCCTTCTTCTTCTTCTTCTTTCTCTACCTCCTTTGTGCCTTTCAGCGTTGAGGTGCCTCCATCCATGCATCCCAAGCATTTCGGTCCTGAGCTAGATTTGATTGTTAGAATTGATTTTATCGCAAGAAAAAAAGTTACGAATATTTCTTTATTCGTAACTTTTCATATACTTTATTTCTTCATTAATATTTTATTTCTTCGTAGAAGGAAAGTCATTTCCGAGAGTAGAAAAAACGTCGGCTCCACAATACCCTCAATGAATGATCAACAGTCAGAGTATAATAGCGTATACCATAGCTTTCTTAGGAATCGCTAAACGTCATTCTTTTGATTGATTTTGACTTCAAGATCACCAAACAGTCTTTCTTTTTTTTTTTTTTATTGAGAAAAAAATACATTTTGCCTCAATCAAGGGCATTGAGTATTCGCGATGAGAGCAACTAATCTTTCTTTAATTATGTCAGTTATAATTGCTAAAAATGCTGCTTAAAAGTTTTTCTTGACATCCAATAGGGTTTGTAATAATGAAACGATTATTTGTCCCAGTTTTCAAGCCTTTTAACGAAATCCTCCAATGCCAACTCATCCTTATTATTCACGACTTATTCTATTCGAGGTACCCAATCCGATTCTTATTCCTTTGTCAAAGTTTGAATTTCCCGCCAGAGTCTTAACTTTGTAAGTTCATTATTGTATCCAAGCGTGGAAACACTAGCAGTGCTCCTCTGAATTGTTCAAAAACAGAATATGTGAAGCGAATAAATCTGGTCAATTATTTTCAAAATTCTATTCAGCTTCGTCAGGTAATCAATAATGAAAAACATAAATAACTTCTCATCACTTTATTAGACAAAAATACTGTTTATAATAAACAAAAATAAAAATTAGGGATATTACTTTAACGACTTCAAACCAGGATGTAGAAATGGCAATTTCACACGTTTTGATCGTATTGAATCAATGGATATGCTTTTTTGCAAGAAGACACTGACTTCAATAGATTAAAGATTTATTTATTACGCTTTATTTATTTTCTGTAGAATTTTATCTATAAAAGTTTAATATAAAATAAATTTTTTCTGTGTGGTTCTTAAAATTGTAAAAAATATTACATGTGTAGTTTCTGAAATAAACGATTAGAGATTTATGTATTTATAAAACCCTAATATATATTTTGATACATATCTTACTTTACATATTAAATATAATGTTCCTCTTTTGCTTTCTATTGACATCATATTGCCATCATAAAATTATAGAATAAATATAATAAAATAAATTATTTTGTTAGCATGATGAGTAATTGACGTAGAATTACCATGATTTTGAACATTGTAAAACATGCGTTTTTACTATGGATGAGCCATATATATTTTTTATTTAATTTTAATGATTTGTTAATCTCAACCCATTATAAAGTTCTTGTTTCCAACTTAATTAAATTGACTCCATGTAATTACATTTGGAGAGGAATCTATATTTGAGAAACACCTCTTGACTAACAAACAACAAAAAACTACTTTATTTCATGAATTATGATGTGATACTTAGAAACTGTGCAATGAACTGAAAATGTTTTACGAATTTGTTTTAGTAATGAATAACATTCGAATGAGTGGTTATATTTAAATAAATGTAAAACAGTGGTCGTAGAGTTGAGAATTAAAAATAAACCAGAGCCTGCGGGCGATCGAAGATAAGCTCGGCGCCCGCCCACAACACAACTCCCTTCCTTGACAAGTTGACACGGGAGCAGGCAAACTTATACCCTTCAATTGTCGCTTATTTTTTATCATAGGAATAATGTTACTAGAAGATATAAGTTCTCTTACTAGAAATAGTGCTAAAAATATAATGCAAACGATAAATAAAAGATACACGTATAGTTAAAATTAGAAGTTCATCCCCAAGTATTTATTGATTCATTGGTGTTATAATATATTAATAGAATATATATATATTGGGGTCGGGGAGAGGGATGGTTTCTACAACTTAAGGGATCATATTCCCAACACCCAAAAGCTCTCTGGTTCCACGCTTCCTTCTTTAAGGTGGCATATATTTATAAATTTTCTTTGGCCAGCGGTTCTCATCCATCAGCATTAAGTGACTTAACCTTTTGGTTCCAATTAGGTGAAGGATGTTCTTTTGACATCCGACCTTGTCTCTAATTGCTGCGTTTTGGATCCGCTTGATTCTAGATATCCCACAGCTTCTTCTCAATAAATCCATTTCCATGGAAAGCAACCTATTTTCCGCCTTTTTTGTAATTGTCCAAACTTCTGATGCGTAGGTGTCTACGCTTTCTACAAAGGAAGGTAGATCTTCTTTTTAGTTTCCAATCTTATTTCTTTACTCCGTAGGGTTAAATTTATCGAACTTATTATTACTTTCTTATGGTTTATTTTATGTTCGATGTCAACCTCACTACCTCCCTTTGAAAATAACCAGAATCCGAGGTACTTGAACTGCTGGCTGACATTGAGGGGGATAAATTTGGAGCGTTGGAAACCATGTACTCTTACTTTTACTAGTTTTCAGACCCCATTTGGAATACGTGTCTAGCAACTTCCTCAACATATAGCTCACATCATCCGGATCCGATGCGATTATCACTTGATCATCGGGATACTGCAAATTGTAGATGACATCATCCTCAATTTGAACACCCATTCCACCGCAACATCTTATCCAGTCTTTAAGGGGTTCTACATAAATGTTGAAAATCAGGGGTGAAAGACAGGAGTCCTGTTTCAATCCTTTGGGAAGATTCTAGACACTCTATCTCCCATCTTTATAGCCCCCGTTATATTTTTATAGAGCCCTTGGATTGCTCCGATGAGGTATCTCTCAATAGATGTGGCTTCCAAAGCTTTCCACAAGGTCCCTATAGGTACTGAATTGTTCGCCTTGTGTAAATCTACAATATCATATGGAGTTCACGGTCGTGGGCCATCTTCTTTTCTATAAGTTGTGAGAGATTAAAAATGTGATCACTGGATGATCTTCCAGCTCGAAAGCGCGCCTGTTCCTCGCTAATCTCTTCCTTTAAGTCATTTTCGATTCTGCTTTTAATTATTCGACCGTATCTATTAAAAGCTATATTATCTACTCAGCGAGCTTGTAACCGTAATGCATCTGCAATTGGAAATATATTTTAATAGAATATATTAAAGTATAAAAATAATCATAATTTTGCAAAAATAACATAGAAATATAGAAGAAGGATATTAGAGGCTATTTCACTTACAGAAAATTTAAATGGGGTCATACATTTTGAAAACGATTAATTTAATATAAATAAAGAATATATGGCACTAAACAGCAAATTAAAAAAAACAAAAAAAACAAATAGTACATGTTTTTCACTTTTAGTCTTTTATTGTATATTATTAGAAATATTTAATGGTAAGAGTGCAGAAAAATATTTTTCTTCAATTTTAACTATATTCGGTTAATGCAGAATGGTTAAACGTTATCGAGTGCTGCATCTAAAAAAAAAGTTTATTTGAGGGTATCTATATATCTACATATATGTATAAAAAAGAGAATAGTTTATATAAAATTAAAGATTTCCAAAACAACATATTCTTAACTATGAGAAATGATTTTTTCTTTAAAACTAGATAACAAGGACAATGTATATTTTTGATTAGGCAAAATAATTTTTTTTCTCTTAATCAGCAGATTAGTTTTTATATTTGATATATATTTTAAGGTATAAAATATATATTCGCTAATAAAAGATTTTTCTCGTTCTTGGAAATAAAAATACCAGAAAAAAATTATTGACAACAATTTTTTCTAAATTATTATTATTTTTAAATATGCGAGTGTTATGCAGCAGTGGGTTACAACTTACTGGTGTATTATACTCATTTAATTTCTTTTCAGCTGTCTGTAGGCTTACAGTCTGCTCTTCTCTTCTGTGTCCTCTTCAATACTTTCTTGTGGCCTTACGGCTGCAGGTCCATCTCTTCTACCCAATGAATAGTGGATTGATTTAAGGAATCCCACTGTTACACGAAGGTCTTGTATCACGGGTTGTCCTCCTTTGCTATTATTTGAGGGAGATTGCTTTCCTTAAAATAAATAATTTTATTATTTTTATTTTCCTCTCTACTCTGTTTTTAAGATAACACGAGATTTTGGAGCAGTGAGTTGATACAAATTTCTGCATAACAAATCACTGCCGCAAGTATATCTTTTACATTGTGATAAATTTCTATGCGTACAGCTTGCTATCTTTGATTGTTTAAGATGGTCACCATCTTCCTCTGTCGACCTGTCGACAGTTAGCAGATGGCATGTTAAAAAAATGAAACTGACATGTCAGGTATAGAATACAGGATCTAGCAGTACCTCTTTTCTGGCTTGATTTTTAGAAAAAAAACATTTGTTATCCTATTTTTATATAAAATATATATATAAAAAAATGAGTAAATGAGTTCTAATGAAAGGCGAAAATCATAAACATAAGGGACATGTTTCTAATCTTTAAGTCTTAGCAAAAATAAACTAAATTATTTTATTTTAATCAATTTACCTGTTTTTATCGTTTGCGAAGAAGGTATCTGGCACCCATATCTTCTCGGCGAAGTCTCCAGACAGCGTGAGGACTTCGTCGTTGTGGCTGAAAGTGAGTCTCTCGTCCTTCCAGTATTGGTTCAGGTACATCGTGATAGTATAGTCCTGTAAAGTCAATCATACTTAAAAGTATCCGTCACTGGATTGATGTTACGATTAACAGAATAATTATAAATTGACATAGCTGAAACATTACAATTGCTAAGCCTTGACGGGTTAGTTCGTTTATTTTGTTTTTATATAAGGAAAGCACAGTGTTTTTAAAGTTAAATTAAATTATTGTACTTAATCTGTAGTTTTTGCTCTTTTATATTATAGCTGAAGAAAGTTAAAAATATATTGTAAGAGTGGTTAATTCTGTTATGTTATTTGTTATGTATTTTATATAAAAATACCATCTAGTCTCTATGGAAACGTATGTTTCCCATTCAAAAATATTATTAACCCAATAATTAAAACTCATTAGGTTTTCGTCATTCTCCATTATCTTCTACGACCTTATATGTTAGGTATTAATTTTCTAAAATCGTGAAATCTTCAACAGACTATTAATTTTTTTTCAATCTAAGAAAATATTTATCGAATTTTCGCCTTTAGAGGGGTGCCATTAAAATTATTGGAGAGGGACCATTTTTATTTGAATTGAATTTTCAGGGGTGCACATTTTAACGTGATTATGAATTTTTGGGAGAGACTATATTTTAATTGGGTTCAATTTGGAAGAAATTTCAAAGCAAGGCAAAAATAAAATAAACCTTAACAGGAACATCAAGTATATTTGTATATGATCTATAATTTTTACAATTCTACTTTTGCTTGCACTATTTTTTAAGGAAAGGAGAGCAATAAAATTTTCCTGAGAGGAGAGGACATACCCGATGTGATAGGGGAGAATGGGCAACCCTGCTTCTTTAGATAAACATGAAATTCTTTCATAGTTCATATTTATCAATTGTATTCATTCAAAAAAATGATATAAAATTTGGAAGAAAAATTTGGTAAAAATAATGATCCTATTCGGCCTACTGTATTTTAATGCATTTGTAAATTATGCATCAATAAATCAGTCACGAATTCAATATATCTCCCTCCAAATAGTAGAGACTTGAATTTCACGGTATTATCCATACATTCCACATCTACAAAGGTTTTATTGATGTAGACGTGTTTAGTAAAATAAACAATACAAAGTAAAAAAGTCAATAAATTAAGACTGGACTCACACATGAATAAATAAAATATTATTCTGTAATTTTATACTGTTTTTATAGAGTGCGCTGACATTAAATCCTCAGCACTCATTAAGATGGTGTTCAACAAAGAGGAGTCCTGTTCTCGGAGAAATCTGACATGAGACGAAGAACAAGAACACTGTTCTTATCATTTATATTTTTAAATAAACAAAACTATTAAAAGGTATGACATGATCTGATAATAATTGCATGGCATGTCGAATAATTATGTAATACATATATTGTTAATGTTATTAATTAACTGTTAATTTATACTAATTGAAGTATTATAATTATAGAGATTACTATGGTGCATGGACTTCTCTACAAAGCTTCTCTACAAATAAAGTTTTAAAACAAAGTAGAGACTGTCAATCGTAACAAAACCCTGAACTTTTGAAATGTTTCATAGATGATTAAATTGAGGCCTATGTCCTATTGATAATCATGTTCAACCCAACTCAAATGTAAGCGCAAACTTTATAAAAAGTACTGCAATTAATGCATACCATATTATTTGGCTTTATAACTTAATATAAACGAATAATTTGATGTGATTAGACAAAGAGATGAATAATTACAGTAACCATGTAATAAAAACCAAACAGTACAAGGGAAACAATAAAAGCCTTGTAGGAGGAGGATGGGAGGGCAGAAGTGTCGGATTTAGGCCCGACTGCTCCCCTAAGAGGTTCCCAGTTTTATGCCCCCTTTTATTCACCACTCTCCGATCTCTCTCCTCAAACTTATTCCTTCCTAAGTTTAACCCTAGTTTCAACTTGTCTCTTTCAGATCATTAAAATTCATCTCCAACTTCCGTTGAAAGAAATAGAGATTGAAACTTATCTCAAGGAGAAATATGTTGATGAAGGGAGTAATAGAACAGCATATTTAGGATACGACAATTGAAAAATGGGAAAATGAATGGGAAGACTTTTTACGACACACTCCGCTTCTTAAAAATAATTCACGTTTAGGCGTCCTTATGAAATTCGGTCAGAAAAGTGTGCATGGAAGTCCACGGGACTCTCGATAGTTGATTTAAACAGTTGTGTTTATTCTCTCAATATTATTCGGCCTCAATGCGATGCAATTTATTAAAATTCACTTTATGTTTCTCTTACCAAGCTAGATTTTCTTCTTATAGTCCGTGGTACAGACCCCTTTATAACAAATTATTAACATCCGGCTGAAATTTCTTAAATAGCCTCATCTCATCGTAACTTACAAATATTTTATTTACGAAAATTCTGGGAATTGGAACGTTTTAAATCTGGAGGCCGGCAAAATTTGTTATTTAATTAGGGACTAAAAACAGTTAAATACCCATTTGCTTTCCCCTTGAATCGTAAGATAAATTCCTCAAAAAGTTGGGAAAAAAGGTGGCCTTCAAAAATATTGAGCCATTTGGCGTGACCTACAACCCCAAATTGTCCAAATAACGAGGTTCTTTACACAAAACGCAATATTTTTATAGACCACTTTTTTTATCGATTTGCGATCAAATTATCGTACGAACCAAGTGGGAAGGAAATAGGTATTTACGAGTTTTTAATACCTAATTAAATAACCAAAGTTTGTCAACCTCCAGATTGAAACCCCGATTCCGAGAATTTTCGTACATAAAATATTTGTAGGTTACTATCAGATGAGGCTATTTACCATGTTTCAGCCGGATGTTAATAATTTGCTAAAAGGGGTCGGTACCACGGACTATTAAATATTAAATATAGTCCGTAATAAAGCATCTCTATGGAGCAAGAAAAGACCATTTTGCATGACACTTAGGTACTGAAGATAAGGAGGCACCTATGTTTTTTACCTTAGTTGAGAGATGAGAGAGGTTTGGGAAAGGGGTGAAACATTTAATAATTTAAAAAAGAGCAAATAAGAAGGAAAATTTATAACGCAATAAAATATTGACAGTTATGAATTCGAGAAAGAACAATTCAAATAACGAAAATACTCATGCTGGAATATAAAAAAGAAAAAAAATCGTGTAAAGAAATAGAGGGTGCTAAACAATAATATTATCATATAAAATAACAATGAGAACTATACAATTGTAACGTATCATACAAAAGAAGTGGGTTTATCATCAGTAATACACCAGATTGACATGTAATTTATAAAAGTAACCAAACTCCTCTAGTACAAATTACAATTAAATATACAGAAAATGATTTCAGAACTCAAAAATGCAAAATAAAAAGAAGCTATGAATAAAAGCAATACCGCATTGTACCGTTAAAATCATACTTCCATATGGATCCTTTTAATTTTTCAGGACTATTGAATAATCACTATTAATTTCGTGTCTGGCTACAATAATTATTTTTGACCAGAGCAAGAAGACTTTCGATATCTCCAATATTATGCGAAGATCGTCTGCGTCGAAATTTAGGATTTTTTTGGTGGTTTTAAATTTTTAATCATTTCATATTTATGGGGGTGAAGAAAGAGGTGGTTCTTAGTTTTTCTTAATTATAAGTAGGATATCACTTTGGAGTATTAGTTTATATTTTATATATATTTGTTTATAGGTCCTAAAACGGAGCAGTAACACTAAGGAAATTTTTCAGTTTTCTTTTTTTTTCTTTTTTTATACTTCTATCCATACCTGTCACAATAAGCAGATGTGATCTCATTGTAAAGAAAATTGGCTTTTCAGGCATGGGAAAGATTAGTACCCACCTGTACCTCTTCCTGGTCTTGGTATACATCATAATTTAAGAAAGGAGATATCCATCCAGCTCCTCTTCAGTCGTCTCCTGATGGGCATATCAGCTGTGGCCATGCCTTTGATAAGTCTGTTGTGATGTCCATGTAATTAAAGATGAAATCGGGAGTAGAGAGTACGGATTTGTTGGTCGATAGCCGGTTGCTGTAAGTCGGTATGTAAAGTTTTGTTGTTTACGTAACAGCGAGCTGTTGTTATTAGGCTTAAAATTATGGATTGAAATTATTGTAGTTTTTGTAAGTGCGTCTTTTTTGCAGAACCGTAAATTTATGAAGCGTATGTCCATATGGGTTTGAGTATGTATTTAGTTTTTCATTGATTTCCAATTTCGATTTGGAAAAAAAAGGATTATAGTATTTTCAGTCGTTTGTTCAAAGTCTTTCGTTTCATTTTGACATGTGGGCCCCAGGTCATCCTACTATCGAATAATTGCTCGAGATAACCTACAGTGTCAGTCTGAGGAATTTAGATGACGCCGATATAAACAGGTGGATATGTGTCTCGTTGTTGTTACCATCGATATAACATATAAATGTTATATGTTGTGATTTGTCATGATTTAATCTAATTTTCCAAAGTGAATACTGATTTTGGAAATTTAGTAAGTGATATTGTAAATTCAGTGATGTTAGTCTGGGGTCATGGTGTTTTGTTAAAAAGCCTCTAAGGTCAGCGTAAGTAGCAGTCAATGTTTCGGAACTGGTAGGCATGTAATGCGTATAGATAATGTTAAGTAAAGGAGCCAATATTGATCTTTGAGGTACCTCTGTTGACACCCGTCGAATGGAGGAAATTTCTAAGCCCTGTGGGACAAAGAAAAACCTGTCGAAAAGGAAAGACTGAAGAATTAGATAGCATGTATGAGGTAGTATAGTTTTGAGTTTAACGAGAAGTCCCAGGTGCCAGACTTTATCAAATTCCTGAGAAACATCCAGAAATACGCCGATTGCATATTGTTTTTGCTCTAGTGCTCCAGCAATGTAGTGAGTAACTGTGTAATTGGTTCGTAGTTAAATGAAATGTGCGAAAGACGAATTGATGGTCAGGAATTATTTTTTGGTCTGTTAGTATGTCAACAAATCTTTTGTACATTAATTTTTCGTTTAGAGTGCTACCAGTGGGTAGTTTCTCAA